CAATGATTAGTGTTTTATCATTGCTGTAAACACAGCTACAACACTTGCCCAGTGAGGTGGAGCAACATTACTATTACAGTACTATCTTATTCACTTAACAATATTAATCAGCAAGATTGATAGTAACTTACCTTCATTTCTAAACTGTCTTCCTATTTCATAAACTCTATCAATTCCTCCAACTACAAGCATCTGGAAAAAGGTAAAAAAAAAACACACACATTAGTTTCTTTCTTCCAACATTTTTATCTACAAAAGCAAACCCAACTGTTGGCAACAAGAGTATTTTGCCTCACCTTGTGGTAAAGTTCAGGTGCAACTCTCATGTACAGGTCCATGCCTAGGTCATTGTGATGTGTGATAAAAGGTTTGGCTGTTGCTCCTCCAGGGATCATGTTCATTAATGGGGTTTCAATCTTAAACACAGTATATAATACCAATGAATACAAGATCATTGATAAACTGAACTGGGATGAGATTCCTCTAAAATCACTACATTACCTCTAAAAATCCAAGTCCATCTAGGAAYTTCCTCACATAATTTATAATTCTTGCTCTTGTGACAAATTTATCCCTTACTCTCTCATTGAGAATTAGATCTAAATATCGTTGTCTGAATCTTGTTTCCTGAACGAATAAAAATAATCATAGAAAGTGTTGGTTTAGCATGAATCAAATGTACAAAACGTGTGATGTCTTACAACAGTCACTAGGGAAAAMAATCTGAGAACATGAAGCCATCTTTTGGCATTATACAGTATTCAGATACCTTGTCCTTGAGGCCAAAGTGTAGATGTGGTAACATATGTAGACATGGTGCAAGAAGTGTCACATTGAATGGCATAATACTTAGTTCTCCTTTCTTTGATTTTCCTGACAAATACAAATTTTTGAGACACTCCTAAGATTACAATCAACATTATACCATCCAATTTGAACTATTATTAACTTAAATGATCATTCTTCTTACCTGGCTTTCCTTCAATGCCAATGATGTCCCCTCTACGAATTTTTCCATGAATAGCATCAAAATCTTGCTTTGCAGATCTTGCATCTGCCATGACTTGGATCTTTGTTCCCTCCCCCCTAAGGTCGTAAAATATTAGTTTGTTTCCCGATGCACGCTTTGCATGAATTCGTCCTGTGAAAAGAAAAGAATTTAGCATCTGTACATTTTTGCAGGATGGCTATTAATACACAATTTTTTAATGAGATGTTGGAGCAAAATCGTACAATTTACTGCAGAGACATTGCAATTATGTCTGATTCCTTTGAATTATAAACAATATTTTGTCTTGCTCAACTTACCAGCAACAGTTACTGTTTCATCCAGCCATTCTCCAGTTTCAATATTGTTATATTTTTCAATGAATTCTGTCAGCGATGTTGAAATATGGAACTTGTGTGGATATGGAGGTTCGGATGAGCCTTTGAGAGCCTCAATTGCCTGACTGCGAATCTTGAAGTATTGCTGATAGAAGCAAAAAATTGATTAAATCACCTTTGCAAACATGATACACTACAGTACGAATCTTGAAGAAAATTATGATTAAAAAGATATAATAAAAATCCTAAAATGTGATGCAATGTTTTGCTGATAGATGCAACACTTTATCAAATCTACAAAAAATTACTTAAAATGTTATTTCTAAAAGGCAAAATCAATCATTAATCACCTTTGCAAACATCATACACTAAATTACGAATTTTGAAGAAAATTATGATAAAAAAATATTAACAAGTTAAATATCCTGAAATCTGATGCAATGTTTTGCTGATAGATGCAACACACTTTATCAAATTTTTACAAAATTACTTAAAATATTTGAGGAAAAAAAACAGGTATATAATTGACAAATATCAGTTCCTTTGTACAAAAAATATTTAAGCTTAGATTATATATAAATTTAAGTGTAAATTTAAATGTAAGCTTAATAACTTATTAAGCTTAATTGATATGGGAAAAGTTTTTAAATCGAAAATGAAAACAAAAACTTACATTGGGGTCCAATGATTCTTCATCCAATTCTTCATTCTTTGGCTTTGCTGGTCCAGGATTTTGTGCCTTATTGAAATATCAAATAAAGGAAATTCATATTTTCAAAGCCAGATTTCACCAGTTCACGTGTTGTTGTGCGTGAATACCTTTTGCGCTGCTAGTTTTTCCTCCTTTTCTTTGGCCTTTTTTTCTGCCTTTAATCGCCTTTTTAATTCACTATAATCAATCAAATCCAGAGATCAATAAAAGAACAATTCATTCTATGATTCAAACTGCAGGAAAATCCTTAAAAGTACAATTTTATAGCTTACTTCTTACTCAGCTTCTCTTCACTACCGGCGTCCGCCATGTTGGACAATCTCGAAAAGACCATGTGGGTCTTATGTATTGSCTTCCCATTGGTCAAAAGCCGGTTAAACCGGTTTAGTTCTACCCCAAATCTTCTCAGCCCGATGCGATGCAGCAACATATTATCCAAGCATCTTTTGCTTCTATTTTAACGTCCTTTCAAACCACCAAATYAACCATCGTTAAATCACTATRRGCCTGAATCTTTAAGTCACCGTCAGTGCAAGTATTGAGGGAAYGTGTACATCAATTATGGTGTAAATGTCATTTTACCATGCGAYTCTCTGTCACACTCGCAATCACCTTGCTAACCTGTGCTTTTGCTCCTCTCAGGGGGAGGGAGAGAAAGAAAAATTCGAAATTACTTCAAAATAAAAATATTGTGATAAAATCAAGCATGAATGACAACATTTCTGAATCTATTTTGAAATTTATTAATTCTATATTGTAAAAAAATAAAAAGGGCTTTCAAAATGATGTTTTTGGGAGCTTTATGTTGCATGACTATCCCTACCCCAGAAGGTATTTMTTGAAATTATCTCATGCATTTTCATTGGACAAAGACTGACATATAAGTGTTTACTTTGATTGAGACAGATACAGACAAACAAAACTGAATCTAAAGATACCATAAACAAGAGATAAAACAACAATAGCCAAATTCWCAAGGGAAATATCAACTGATCTACCCGCAGAAATTTGCATTTTATTTCAGTGCCGAGAAGTACAACTTTTTATATACCCGCTAGACTGTTGTTACTAGTCAGTACTAGTGCTGCTGTCTACAGAATCACAGRGCTGAATCGACAGTTCACGTTTGTACAGTGCATTCTTTCTTATCTAAGCCCACATACAGATCATTAGATTGAAAATCTAAGCAGTGACATGGAATTGAGCGAAAAATTGAAAAAAACTTTGGAATCGCTTAAAAAAGCGCACAAAATGCTCGACGCAAGAATACTSCACACCTCAAAAACTTATCAAGACATTGTTAGAGAAATTCACGAAACCGCTGAAAACTTGGTGAATTCAATCCGAAAACATGAAGAAGTTTTAGTCTCKAAAGCTAGTGAGTTTTCTCAGATTATATTGCGTGAATTCGAAGGGAAAAAAGAGGATATCGAAATGCAAATCGATGAAATAGATACCTTGTTATCGTATAACGAGAAAATGGAAAGTTGGATAGCTGAGACAAGTGAGGATGCAATAACGGATGACAAACAAGACTGGCAGAAAGCCATTGTGTCAAAAATGGTAAATCTATGCACAATCCATGATGATCTAAGAACACCGAACAGCCAATTTGTCGAGTTTCAAAGATTACTGGCAGATCCTGGACTGGTTGACGTTTTTTGTCATTTCGGTGATATAATTACAAGTTGTTTATATGAGATCAACATGGAGGAAGGCAAAGGTCTTCAGTGTGGTGATCTGATTGATTTTGATGAGAATGCTAATGTTTTCAGGCAAAGTCAACAAAGTTCTTACGAAGAAACAGATTCTAGTTATGAAGCTATTCCATATCTTTGACATGATATCTTAATTGATTTTCAGTGTGAGCAGTCGCCAGCATTTGATCATCCTTGCTATAATAATGCATTGCATGTTCATTATCATTTGWCATATTTCATTAAATTTGTGTTCAGTGTCGTTGTGCTCAAAACAACACTTTATAGAAAACAATAGAAGCAAGGCTAATCAATAAAGCCAGTACTGAGACATGGATTCATATACGGCGCCTGAAATATGTTTACGAAAGCTTTCAGTAAATTTTACTCTCTGTATGAATTACTGTTTTTGATTTGAAGAAAACCACCTGCTTRACACAGCATGAACCTCTATAAACGATCAATGAAAGCATCAAGCGGTGTTTTTGCGGTGCATACCCAGTGGTGCGAGAAACCTCCATCAGAAAAGAGTACTTTTTGTAACATAAATCTCGCCAGTTTAAACTGWACAAAGAAAGAAGCAGAGACAGGAAGAACTTATTTTTATTTCTTTTTTTACTTGGGWTAAGGTTAACAACAAAGGGAAAACAACTTAAGAAACAAAAGATGTTCAACTAATGCTGTCATGCTTTGATGATTATAGTTCGTTGTTGTCACGTCGTTACAGCGTGACATCAAGGGGTTTCATCATAGAGGAACACAAATATTGCTTCTATTTYAAGACGTAGTAATTACGGGAGTCTTTCATTGTAATGATAGAATGTTGTTAAAACTCAAATTTTCGCCTCGCAAGACTTGATAGTTTCGGTTTTCAGGCCAGTGAAGGTAAACTTGGCAACGTGCTGTGACATGTTAATTATTATGTAAATATACGATTTTCAAGTCACAAGCACCGTATAAACTGACAAAGAGTTGTGTTTTCTTATTAAACATTCTAAGAAATATTCATTATCAGTTTAGGAGATATCTTTTTCAAACAAAGAAAACCGTATTTCTAATTTTAACATAAGAAATTTAACCCTGAAAGTTCATGTCTGAGCATGTCTGTTGTGAATGGTAATTATTCTTCGTCACCAGTCCACTATGATTACTTCACGGCAACTCGTGTCGTCCCACATTTCAACGCGCATTGCCGTCTAACTGGCTCATTCAACTTCCACTTTATCGTTACTCTGGTTTCCCTTCAGATCGCATAAATCTTTCGCCTTTTACTAAAGATTTCCGTGGAGGGGAACAACACAATGAGTCTATAGACCAATTTTTTGTCGCCCTGCCTTATGGCGGGGCATATAATAACAAATAAAAAAAATTAGCAAAACTTTCAGTCAACGGATTGGTCTAAATCTTGTCTCACTTCAAGCCAAGATTAAGTTGTTTTTTAGCATATGGTTAGTTTATTTCCTTTAACAATCGGAAATAATTAAATCGAATTTTATAATCTTCATTAAAAGAATTCAAAGACGATTGGGAAACTGAATAAAAATTTTACTCATSCATGGCGAAAGCAAGCGGAATAATTACATGCAAAGCAGATTAAAAATTCGAAAATGCTAGTTCCACTGAGATCATATGAAATATTTACTCTCTCTATATAGTTTTCCTTGGGCTTCCTGTGTTTTCTTACAATGCCWGGTTTCTAAGTAAAGATGGCGAACGTGTGGTGGCTGCAAGTTTGATGCGGCTCACAGAAAAACCAGTCAAAAGGATCAACCTTCATACCGACATCTAATTGATCAAGTAAGGTGAACTGTTAAACGTAAATGGTCGAATTCACATCTTGACACGAGCTTTCGAAGTTTTGTGCGCGGATCGTGTCGCGCGGGAAACCCTGAAACCACTGAAACACAGTCAAAGACTAAACTGCTAATAAAAGGTCTCTTCGGACCCCTGAAAACTTAAGTGCAAGCATTTATACACGTGAAACTTCAATGTGARAAGTGTTGCTCAGAGAAAACAAAGGAATTGTTACCACTGTCATATTGTTCATAAAAAGAATAAGCTTACTGTGTTCTAAATCTAGGAGTACTATAAGTTAAGCTTAATGAATTTTAAAGAAATCTTCTTTATTGTTTAGCATCAGTATCGAATCCATAAGCTTAACTGTTCTAATTCTTARTTATTTTGTTGATTTACAATAATGTACACTTTTGTCAAATTTCATGCAGTTATTGTCTGAATAGCCTGTGTGGAAGTTCTAATTTATGATGTCTGTATACTGCTTCCCCAAACCACAAGCTTAACTTCATTTGGCTCTTTCCCTACCCTTCATCCCTCTATTTAGTGACCACTAAATCATGCTAAGATCTGTTTCAAATCATGCCCAATTCAGGATAATTATTATCATTATTATAAAATGAAGTTAGCACATGTGTGAATTAACATGTGTGATTCAACAAGCCTAGCACATTGTTTCACTCCTGGGTCTGACTTTAGTCTTGGGAACAGTCAACAAAATTGYYGCATTACTTGGAGGCTTTTTTACTGGTACTGTCCCTTTCAACACTAACTCAATATCTCTCGACTGTTCTCTTGGAGAATCACATTGTACATTTCCACTAGCCCAGGAACKTCTTTTCCAGACTTTGTATGGCTCAGCATCATCATCATTCAGTTTGAGAATTTGAGAAGATGACTTGGCCTTGAGTTGTTCTTGTCTAAGTGGTTTGTTTAGTCTTGTTAGTCTTGTTGTGGGTTGTTTCTTGTTTGTTGGGGCWTGTTTCAAAACCCATGGGTTTATGCAACCATTGGTGATGCTGGTGTAAGCATTTTGTGTAGCATCCACTGGATTATTTCTTTGAAATTCTTCTTTCTTTACAAGATTAAACTTAGTGAGATCTTGAAATATTTCTTCCTTGTCTCCAGGCTGATCTGAATCATTTAGTGAAGTTGAGCTGTTGTGCTTAAGTGGTCCAGCTTTCCTTTCTCCCTCAAGCTGACATGGCACAAATGACATTGAAGACGACGGCTGARATTGTTGTTCATTGTGTTTTAGCTGATGTTGTTGTTTTAACTCCATCTGCAGGTGATTCAGTTGCTTGTGAAGCTGTTGATGTTGCAGTGATTGTGGCTGCAGTTCTTGTTTTGACAGACAGTGCTGTTGTTCTTGCTGTGATTGCTGATGAAGACACTGTTGCTTTTGGCATCCTTGCTGTTTCTGATGTCTGTTCTGTTGTGGTTGCTGTTTTCTTTCTAGCTTTKCTTCTTCTTGTTGAAGYTGTTGCTGTTTCTTTTGAAGTTGTTGCAGCTTCGGCTGCTTTTGATATCCCTGCTGTTTCTCTCTCTGCTGTGGGAGTTCTTGCTGTTGCTGTTTCKTTTCTGGCTGTGGTTGCTTYAGACTATAACTCTCCTCCTGGCTGTTTTGTTGTCCTTGTTGATTCTCCTGACATTGTTTTGAGCTTATAACTTTATCTTGGTGCAAAGGGTATTGTCTGTTTTCCACATCTTCATGTTGATAGCCATTTGTGAACTGTTCTTGTACGTATATTTGTGGTATCTCCTTCGAATGGATGCTCATTTTGTGGTTCGAATTTTGTTTAACTTCTTGTTTTTCTTTTTCTTTCCTGTCATACTTTTCACTTGTCAATTTTGTACAAGGTGAACTATCTACCTGCAACTTACGGTATCTATTGCACCTTGGCTGCTGTTTATCATTTTTCTGTTGACGGTACTTCTGTTGTAAGGTTTTGCAGACATCGTGGTCAAGCTTAGAAGACATCACGCTCGGATTAGAGGAAGATTGAGCACCAAAACAAACGAGTTTTTCACCTTGACTTGAACTCAAGTAGGGATCAAAACAAACCTTCAGAAAATCTCCTCTTGCTATGTTATCAGTGCTYTTAGATCGAAAAGTCTGAAAGTCTTTGTTGTAAAGTCCAGTACTGTAGTCGTTGTCTTCTTCATCTGATTCGTTGCCTTCAAGTATTCTCAACGAGAAAGGTCTATAGCTAGCGTCGAGTTTAGTYGGTCTCATCTTTTCRCTCTCGCTGCATTCAGTCTCTGAATCAGGGCGAAAGTAAGCCCAGTTATAAGTTGAACTGACTTTAGGATTGAGAATGAAAGAAGGGTTGAGAGTGTCGGTGACCTTCTTGGATGTATTTTGTGAGATACGGGGACTCTTAGCCTCTTCGTGCGTTATATCTTCATGGTTTGAGTTATGACAACTTTTTGTTTGTTCACTATCATTTTTGCTCTGAAATGCGGCTTGTTCGTCTTGTAAWGTAAGAATAACACAAGGGATATCTGTAAAGCTAAATTGCTGGGCCCTTGTTTGTAGCTGAGGCGTCAAAAACATRAAACTATTGCGATTAACATTTTCWAAAGTTGGGCTTAACAATCGCACATCGTTGCGTCCCTCATTCTTGGGATACTTCACTTGTTGACTATATCTTTTCTCTTGCTCTATGACAGGTCTTTCTTTATTTGATCGGTTTTCTTKCTCTTCATGCATAGAGACGTCAGGYAGTGAAACAATGTCACTGCGACGACACTGCCTACTGCTCATGCGCTCTTCCTGCTCGTCATCTTTCTTACGATGTTTTTGGAATTTATTCTTTATCAATACGAAAGCAACATAAAATACAATCAACACAAAGAGTACAATCACAATTGTAGCTGTGACTTGGTAAAACAGACTTATGTCAGACACAGTTGGATTGGKGTCTYCCTGGTGAACTATCGAGCCATTACCGAATAGGTCTGTCGTATTACCGAAGACATCCGAAATGTTAACGAACGTGCTCGATATGTTATCTGTTGTGTTTCCGAGGAGGTTCGTCGTGGMCCTRTTTGTTGGGTTACAATCTCCTACTACCACAYGGTTGAGTTTGACCCAGCGTGGCTTGRTACTGAAGTTTATGATGCTATTCTGGCAGATCACATTTCTTATGCACCCAACRAAACCTTTTCCAGTCCCACCTAGAACGAACCTTGAACGCGTTAGCAAAGGAGAAAAGTGTCTTGGTACCCCAATTTCATGCCCTTTCCCATTTAGTGTTAAAAGTAGTTTAGACTTTAATGTTGAGAATGCCATCTCAATATTGTTCCATTCGCCTTGGGGAATTTCCCCAACATCAGATGTAAGTGTTTTCGTGTTGTTTGGTTTTGAACATAGACGAACTCGTAGAAGCCCATCGTTTATAATGAACTGCACATCAAATGATTTGTGGTTCCACTCAGCCAGRAAAGCGTCCTTTTGTTTTGTTCTGAATTGAAAACTCATGTATAAATTTTTAGACTTCTCATTCAGAGTCCTTAAAAGTGTTACCGTGGAATCTCCTCCACTTAAGCTTGCAGTTCTTTCTTTGCAGCTACTAGTTTGACAGAGTAACGAAATCTTTCTATTCCAATATTTKTTGAAATCCCAAATGCCAAACCTAGTGACAGCCATCTTGCTCATGCATCCAGTAAARTTGAGAACGGAAGGCATTGCCATTTTGTGCAATTTTAAGGGAATTCCACCAAGATAAATAACTTTAATCTCACGKGTGTTGTGAACAGTATCTGTAAAGTTGACTAATTCTCCTGTTATTGATAATTTAATAATGTTTTGGTTTATTTTGATGTRCATTTGATACCATTGATTGACAGTCACCATGGAAACTAATGTTCTAGCTGAGCTTGTCGTGATTAAGGGGGTTCTGCTTGAGCTGATACTCCTGAAAAATAGAAAAAAATAGCTATATCACTAACCTATTTAGATTGACCTCTGCGATAATACTTCTTGTCCTTTCAGAAAGCGCCAGGTCTGAATTTGCATTACTCAAGCCACTGGTATATTCTTCCATTAAGGTAAGGATAGACTTCTACAACTTATTGAAATTTATAGTTTGCGGTCGAATGTTATGCAAATACAGCGGTGGCTCAACTTTTTTGCGCCTACGATAATGCGTGGTCAGCGGATGATTAATCGTTTTGGTCTTTTTTTAAATAGAAATTTCACGAACAATGCTGCTCAAATACAATCTAACAATCAACTGTATAKTGCTTTAATGACTCAGTATGTTGATTTGAGACACGGAAGAACTAAAGCGGCGCATACCACGTTGCGTTGGCGCAAAACTTCCTTCTTTATTTTCAAATCCTGTCATCGATGAAAGTTAACTCTAACGATGCAAGAGTTAATGGATGAAAAACCTATTCAGTAATTGGTATTTCCTTTTACTGAAGTATATTGTGAAAAGCGTGGTGAACGACCATTGATCTGAGTCTTGTTAAAAACCTCAGTCGCTTCAGCAGCCAATCAATTCTTGAGAAACATTTGCAATTCAATTCAGAACTAGTAGTTCTGAGGCAAAACAGATAAAAGAATAAAATGGATAAAAAAATAAAATGGATGCTGATAGTTAGAGTCTATAAAACTAGTGAATATTTAATTATGCTGAAAATCACAAAATTTCCTCAACGGCGACGACTTTACGGAGTATTTTCTAGAAATTTTGTTCGTGTGTTCCTGTTTGTGATTATCAGTAGGTGTACGCCCTGATTCAATTTTCATCTAAACCTTACTTACAGGTAATCAATAGTATGGACCGCTGCGAGCATGAAATATATGATGTATTTTCCTTTCAATAGATTGCTTGATATTATTGCGASACGTCATGTCCATTATAATTGCAATATAATTGGCGCTTTTTATGAGTTGATTATCTAATGGATGCGATGAAAAATATCTAGACAATATGATTCACGTGTTGTATTTGAGGTAAGAGAGAGACCTCACTAATCTGTCATCAAAAAAAATTAATATTTTGTGGTTATTAGTGTTTTTATACTGTATTCATACCGTCGCCTGACTACATAATTAAACCGGCCTTCTTCCATATCAACACTAACCGATTACCCTACATTAAATTATCAAAGACTTACTTTAATGGACTCAATTCCTCTCTCAAAATGTTTCTAATATATATTTCATTTGAGTTCGAACTTCAAAAAAGGTATAATGTCTTGATTGTAAACTGGTGATGGGAGGTGTGATAGTTTTACAGTGCTTTTTATCTTTGAGATGAGCTAATATTTTCATTATATTCCACAAATATTGAACTTCCTTTTCAATCACTGAACATTTTGGATGATTTTTGGGTCACTTTGCCTCATTTCTTCTGTTCTGTTTTTCCACATTAAATTTATACTTATATGAACGCAGAAAGAAAAAAAAGGACGGAATGAATGGTATAACGAGGAATGGAACTAAAGGAAAGGCCGACAACAAAAAGTAAATTGCTTTAATGCAGTGTAATGCATATCGGCAGTGCAAAGCAACCAATTTACGTGAAAACGATGCGGTCTCGAAGGTTCTGAAAAGTATGCTAGTTCACTGTAATCCATGTTGTTATCAAAACAAAATCTACCAAAACATATCCCCTTTGCGTCACTCTCTTGCCAACAATGACATAATAGAACGCCTTTMAAATGCCTCGGAGACTATAATATTCTAAACCAGTTGCTATGGACCTTGCTCGGGGGTGAGGGRGTGGGGGAAGGGGAAAGTATTGTTAATTTAAACTCCCGACCGTCTTCCATTCTCCTGTAATCGATGCGGAAATTGAGTTTTGAGGAGAAGGATGTTATTATGTAAACCAGAATCTTGTCTAAAAATATTGTGCAAACATAGAATCAAGTATGAAGTCTGATAAGCCAATTTATATGGACTATMTTTTTATATATGATATCAAAGAGGCAAGATTTTGCTGTAACTCCGAGTTTCGTGCTACGCACTCATCAGACAGTATTTACTATATTTTTATAAATTCCTAGTCGTGTCACTTCCTCATCTTCATGTTCTTATTTTATTCGATGAGCTTTACGACCGAAATATCGATCAAGAACAACAATAATAACAAAAAAAATAAATATGATCATGATGATAATAATAACGTTTRCAATGGTAACACTGAAATAAAAAAATAAATAAATAAAAAGTTAAGATAGTCTTTGCGCAGCAACATTGAGAGGCAAGTATTACTGACAAACAAAGAAGAGAAAGGAAATCAATCTTTCTATTTTTATACAAAATGTGTTTGTATGGCGCTGGATACAAACATCATTTGGTAATCTTTTGGATCAGTTGCTTTCACATCCCAGGTGTTTTTTAAGGACAGGGCATATTTTGATGCTTAAAAGCATTACAAGTCATGCATCTCATARACAGGTGCTGTCATTTCCACAGATCGTACCACAGCTGCGAGATATCATTAATAAACCACCAAAAATAACTCGTTCATTAAGTCTTTCAAATTATTTCCCTTGCATATACATTACTGTCATAATCTATAAACTAATTCTCGACATTTCGTAATGGTATGTCATAAGCATTCGGGAAATTATATCTTGTATTTGCAAAGAATCACTTGAAATTTATAAGAATTTCTCTTGTGCGTGACAACTGAAAGCTGTGCCTCTGTGACACGAGCTCCTGTCACGCAACAAACCCAGGTTGAACAAAATGACAGCTTTGACCTTCGCCATTATCTYCAAAGCTATGTTTTCTTGACCTTTATCCATTTTTTACCGATTCAGACGTAAATACCAAGGAATGTTGTGAATGGACGTCACTTCCAGTCTAAATCGAAACTGATACAGAAAAAGATTTTAGTGTGGATGATCTAGTCTTTTTCACCGGTGATTATGTTTGTTTTGAAGGCAAATATTTGATTGATAGTCCTTGAGTAGGTTATATCAAGGTCACAGTAAAATCGAAGCAAAATCTATCATAACTTATAAAACCACGATAATTTTCTTTGAGGAATTCGACTATTTTCAWGAATAATTGAAATATATGTAAATTTTCATCATCGATATAGTCCATGAATCATAGATTCTCTTGAAGTAGGCCGGAAACCATTCTGAAACGAGCGTGTCAGAGCACATTGTGCTCATTACATTCCTGTTACCCGTCCACGCCCWTAACCACACACATACAGTATATTTGTATATGAGAATTCTTCGACCTTGTCACGATTAGACGCACGTAAAACGTTTAGTAAAACTCAAGTGTCATCTAGCACCACTGAAAGAGTTAGTGGAAGATGGTCCATGACGTAAATGTGGTCGTGATGTCGTGTATTTCGGTGATAAACAAGCTACTTGGTTTTGAATTATTTTAAAACATTTTAATGCAWCATACTATCCTTGTTCTTAGCACGTACCATTGATAACAAGATCGTCRCCGTATTCTACAAGAAGTTACGATCAATACTGACACGTAATTTCTTTAATTTTAAAGAAGTGTATCACTGAGAACTTAAAGACTGGCCAATATTTCTCGCCTCTTCCTGTCCTCAGAGTAGACTCTATATTTACGCAAATAGCAATGCCTAAATCCACGAATTTTTTTTAAGGATTCCCGAAGATTCAACTGAAAAAAAAAAGAAAACACAGACTTACAGTTTCTATATGATTGTTAGTGTTTCAATTTCTAGTTCCATTCAATAAGTTATCATTCTTGAAACAATCTTTCAGKTTCATGGACCAGCGACTTCACATTTTCGATCAGCTCGCTGATTGTAAACCTTTTAATTGCTGAAACTGGTTTATTCACTTAATTAAAGTCAAGTTTTTATCAGGTTATTTAACTAACAGTAAGGTCAAAGTTTTAACCGGTTGTATCTAATTCATCTTRTTTTTTCTTATTCGTAAAAAAAATCTATATTACCAAACTTTAGGACAAGGAGAGAGGTGACTAGKGTCCTATCCTTTTCGCAACTTCATTAATATACAGTCCTGAAAAGTATGAATGATACACATTATCAACCAGACTTATTAGTTTATTAACAGAAAACTGATTCAGTTTCCGTCAAAGATGCTGATTGTTCCAATTTTAAAATTTCCATTTTCAATAAACATCGCAATGATTGCTCTCCGATTCGATACTCTCTCAAAACATCGTGGTTGCTTTGTCTTAGTTTCACTTGCCTAAAAGCTTTAGCTGCATACAATTTCGAAATAAGAACTTTATCTCATAGTGGGACGATATTGGAACGATATTCACCCATCGGGGATTTCACCGGTAATAAGATATTTTTAAGTTAAAAATCAACCTTAGTTAATAATTAAAGATTCTGGTAAAGTGCCGCAAAAATGAAGCAAAAAAAGCAAATGACACGTGCTCTTTACTGGTTTTCCACTGACTTGTGATTGGTTTAATTGGAATGATTGACAAAAAGTTTTTCTGCAGGTGTCGTGACACATAATGCAAAGCGCGTTGACAAAGGAAGAGCACTCGCCATTTTTCTTTTGTTCAAGCTGGATTTATTTTAATAACAAATGTGTACAAATAAAGAAATATATAAAATAAGTGATAGAAACCAAGCCATGCAAAGAGGGCGACACAAATGTACCAGTAATGAAGTCAGTCCGTCAGAGAAGCGGAAGGGGTGGTGACTAGTCAGCCGTATATATAATCAACGTGTGGGAGTTTCCTGTATTCACTTCAATCGAAACCTTTGAACAAGAAACACTATGAAAGAGTCAGTGGACCAAGATTGTAAATATTCCTTCAGAGTTTTAGTCGTGGGAGATCCTGGCGTAGGGAAGACTTCACTAATCAAACGTTTTACAAAAGGATATTTCTGTGAGAGCAATTCATCAACTGTTGGGGTCGATGTTGGCACACGACTTCTGGATATTCACGGTGACAAAGTGAAACTACATTGTACAGATACTGCTGGTCAGGAGAAATTCCGTGGTTTGACACAGAGCTATTATCGCAATGCCGATGCAGTTGTATTAGTATTTGACATTACAAACAGGGGAACATTCGCTAGTATTCCTCAATGGCTCGTCAACGTGCACAGGTATGCCGGGAAAAATGTCTTGAAGGTTTTGGTCGGCAATAAAACGGACTTAAAAGGAGCAAGTCGAAAGGTTACTACACGATCTGCAGCTAATCTGGCTGAGTTTGAAGATCTTCTGTATCTAGAAACCTCGGCAAAATGGGACGATAATGTGGAAACATTGATCACAGAACTAGCTGAACAGCTTAGGGAGAACGCTAAAAATAACTCAAAACATGTGGACATGGATCAAAATTGTCCAAATAGTGGTCCTTCTAGCTTCTTCAAATTAGGATTCTACAAAATACGAGACAGTCTTTCACACAAAGASCCTTCCTCTGCTGTTTTAATTGCGCATTGAAAAGTGAAAAATTCTCGATTTTGACATTGTGACAGTTGATCTTTGTGGCGCAGTCCGATTGTCGTAAGATGAACTGAAAACGAAAGGTTACTATGAATAATTTATTTTAAATTTAGGAAGAGAAAGAAGATGTCTTGTAAATAGTCAACTGATCAGTGAGCATTCAAGGATAGTATTTAAGAGGCTCGCTCTGGGGTTTATATATTTATCTTTATCATCATAACATGAAATAACAAACAAATTACAGCCTTAAACTTGTCTTATTTCAAGTGAGTGAAATGGTCTGTTGTTTTTTTTTCTTCTCCATCTTGTGACAGTTTTTTCTTTTTCATTGACATATGTTTTGGATTTCCAAGGCACGTGGCTGTCATACTGATCACTTTGTACTTTGCATAAGAAAGGCGCAGACCCGTTGCAAAAGGCGCGCAATAGGTCTTAAATATCTCTACAGCAGTGAAGCAGTCTAGCTGTCTTGCTGTTTCGGTTTAGTGTATCAACAAATACTGCGCAGTAGAACGGGAAATGAAAGAATGGTGTTAGTAGAACAGGAAGAAAGAAGGAAAGGAGAGGCATTGATAACACTAAAACGCGTGGAGAAAACATTCTTTTGTTCGACGAACAGCACACCCGTAAAATAGTCTATATTAGCATATCAGTGTTTACTTGATCGGTTCATTGCTTATGACAGTCACACAATCATCTCATGACCTTCTTGTCTTGACACACACTCACAGGACGTATGGAACCGTTTCAGCTTTCTGTACGCTTTGTATCTTCATATTTCTACCCGCGATCTTTTGCTCTAGAATGCGTTCAATTATTCATCTTTGTCGGTTTGTTCGTAATTACTTGGTAATATTCATCAATATGGTTCGTAGGGCGCTTATCAAATATTCAACTTCTAACGTGTTTATAATACCATGAACGTCACTGATAAGAGATTTTTTCTGAGGAAAAGTCGATCACAGAATATACTAGCATACTCTGTTTCATCTGGACTTGAATTGTCATGAAATCTGGTCATGACAAAATTTGTTAATTGTAACCCTTAATACCGCTGAATATATTACAGAAAAATCGGTCTACGAAAAAGGATACATAATTGATTTAATCTAAGTCTAACTGGCTTGAGAGATGTTTTTTATCGCGATGAAAACCKCATATACATCAACGGTTGCGYCAAACTTGCTATGAGTCTTGATCTCCTTCTGATTTTATTTCTTAATTTGATGTTTGGCCTTATTCAGGCCTTCAAAAATTGCAAAGCCGGCTGTATTTCAAGCCGTCTTGCGGGATATTGGGAAAAGTTTTCAATCAGCAATAACCGCGCCTCGGATAGACCTCACTGGCTACGGTAATGCCACTGCGCAAAGCTRAAGTATCCAGRTAAGACCTCCAAGGTCCATATCGCCAGTGACCGCACATGAATGTGGGAATCTTACAACAACCAAAATATACTATTTTTTCAGCGATAACCACTCCATTTGAWCTGAAAACAGCTTTTGATGTGATAGAATGTAGAGTAGATATTTTCTTTGTTTTCATTTAGAGCGATTTAAAATTATTTAACATTTTCGCTGTAGATGATGCGCAGTAATAACATAATTGAGACCTACTGCGCACTCAAAAATTTCCATAGCATTTTATTTGAGTTATCACGCTAAAAACACATAACAAATATTGATTGGTATTTGTGTATTTGCCAAGAACTAGACTTCAAGGAGCTCAAACTAGACAAAAAATAATCATCGTGACTTCAAACGTGGCACAAAGAGATTAAAGGCCATTACGACATGGTATCAATTTACATAATTCACAAACCTCAAGGAAGTTTATTGTATATTTGCGTAAATCTCCCGACTGAGAATCAAGTCTATATCCATTACGTGGTCGTGATTAGTSTACAAGATTTCGAAATAATCCTATGATTGACGCGAACTTAAACCCATATTTTCCATTTCTTTGATTATGTTTTATCTTGTAGTAATATCATTTAAAAGTGTTAGCAAGGGTCGATCGGAAACATAGGCTTAAAAGATTTTATCCATTAGCGAAACACCGTCAAAGTTCACTGTCATCTTACCGAAAAAAAATACTCTCACAAAAACAGAGTACAATGAATCTGTCGCCACTGAAACCGGAGCTGCWAACTTCCGCAAGTAATCTCTCATTGTCAGTTTAGATCACGTTGAGAGTTGATTATCGTCTGAGAACCGAGTCAATGGGGTGAGGATGTATTTATGGCTTTATTGCGATAAAAACCGTTTATTAACTATTTTTATCTTTATGGATTCTACCGAGCATGTCACGGCCGCATGATTGCTAATTACAAATGCATGATCCCACACGTTGAACGGTCTAGTGAACATTCATAGTTTGTTTTATAACACATCTGATTTCAAGCATTATGGTCATTGACTTTTAAATTTCTCCAGAACCGGTGGGTTTGCCTATGCGGCGAACCTGCCACAAAATTATAAAAGTGAAATAGTCGACTAATATAACTACGTAGGTTGTCTGTTGTGTGAATAAGACGGCTTAAGTCGGTTCTTGTTACAATAATAAACCTCACTCGCGGTTCGTGATATTTACTTGAATAGAAATACCCTTGTCTTAAAAATATTTAGGTATTTTTGCCAAAGTATTCCATCTTGTTTTAAGACACAAGCGACTACAAAAGCACTACAATGTAAATTGAGCCAATAACAAATTATAAACTGGCTTAACTGACCGGAAATGAATAATATTCGTACTCTGACTTCTGTCTACGAAGCGAATAGAAGCTTCCTTTCTCATCGAGCTAAAAGGCGAATCTTTCCTCGTTAGATCTTTAACCTAACGAGACAACAGTTYTATTTGACAAACCGACCATGTTAGTGACCTCTAATATTTGTAAATGAAATTTACTTTTCGTTGTTTTCATGATGTGGATAAAAGTCCACATTTAATATAAGCCGAATGCTACCAAAACACATAGTGAAACCTTATTATAATTTATTGGTCTTCCTGTGGTAACATTGAGACAGGGTGACCAACGTCCCTTATTTACAGACTATCAAATAAGGTGTGTTTATATAGGTAATTGAATTATCGTTGAGAAACCCGCTTGATACCTCGCGGTAATTAGTTGTTCAGATCATACCTTATGCTGCCATTTGCTAAATCAAATCCATCCCAATCGCTGTCATTCCGAACTAAAGCCACTAGTAAGCCATAAAGACTTCTAGTTTTAAACCATGTTCTCACTTCAAACTCTTGACTTGAATTCTTCCCTGCGTCCAGCTTGGAAAACTCCTGACCAARAAACTGTACTTGACAAAAATGATGAGATGCGTTGTCGTCACACTTAGCAAAGGAAAATAATAATGATAGTATGTACTGTGATGCCACCAGAAGACAAGCTCTTTTGTTTATTCTCATGTTGGAAACAATAAGTTCAAGGCTGAGGCTCTTCGCAAAGCACTACGTTCTGAGGAGAGACGAGTGGCCATTAATTGTTTTGTTATGTTTTGTGTACATACATGAGATTATTGCAATCAAAAAGTCTTTATACCTTCATTCATAGTCCATGTTGGTCTCGGATACTTTAACAAYTTCTCAAGATTTCCTCTCTTGACGAGTCACTGAGTATTTGCTTCTGTATTTGCCGATTTCGCGTCGTTTTCGTTATTTAATAAATCCTAACATCGAAAAGTAATCAACTAACACCTTTAGTTTCAAAAAACTAATCAAGATTACTGCAGTATATTGCAAATCACCACTTCAATAAATTCTTGATAGTGTAGAAAGATCTTATTGGCTAACGATGCAAAGGTCTTTGTCCAGTACTTTCCAGCGTTGAGTTTGCGGTTATGGACTCCATTTCAACAGTGAATTAAAAAKCAAGCTACAAATATACACACCACTTTCCAGCCATTACCTGGTCTCAAAAGTCCCTACTAATGATTTTAACCTTGTTTGTACACTGCGATTGAAAGTTAGGAAATGGCTTGTTGTATCMTACTAGGCCTTAAATAACCACAGTCTCGATGGAACGCTATGAATAAATCATACTATTTAAACAGATATTAATTTTAATGTGGTTCGATTAGTAGTGTCGTTACATCAGTAGATGTACGTGRTTATGACGTCATAGGGGTGATATGGGTGTAAAGAGCCCTCCCCTAGCGATTCTCAAGTAACTGATATCCTGACAGCTCCTCGGTATTTTAGTTTGATAAAATTTAGCTTGACCTTCCTTAAATCCTGGCCTTTTTCTTATTCCTGTTGGTTGTTTCGTTTCTCATGCATTCCTTTTCTTTTCAACATGCATGACCTTCTGTTTCCAATGTTTTAAGAGCTTGAAAAATTGAGTTTTAAATGACTGAAATAATGTTCGTCTTRCATCAAAAATTGATGTCAATCAATTAATATACCGCCTTAAAGCACCAAATCAAAATTGTTCTGGTGGTAATATTTTATCAAAGTAGTGGATTAAACATTGTGACTGCATTTGAGAAGGAAATGCGATTTAAATTGATTCGGTTCACTCAGCATTGGGTCAAATGTACCTACTATGAATATYTAATCGCAACAAGTGCACGTTTTAATATGAGTCATTACTTTTAAGACTTCAGGCAGTACATTTACTAATTACATATTCACAAACACATGCTAATGACGTCATGTGGTGTTGTCGAGATGCATTATGGGAATGACAATATGTTGTTGTGTGTCAAGCATTATTTATTCCTAGTCTGTTGCGAMTGATGGAAAACATCCTTAACAACTGGTAACGTTGATTTTGAAAATAACCGTCGTCATATGGCCTTTTATAAGCAGTCCGCATCTACTGGTTTTATCAATACCGTGATGCACTGCGCTTAAATAAACATGACGTCATCCAAAGCAACATTTGCGCCGTATAATAAACATATAAAAAGCCAAAACCACACGAAGAACTAATATAGAAACATTGTTTATTGAGTTATTGATGTATTAATTTAATCTAAATAGCTTTATAACAAATTTACAATTCCATAATAAAGTTTCTATTCTATTAACAAATTCTAGACCCCCCGGGGCTCTGTTTTTAGTACGTTTTTATTGTTACTGACCGTTCTAATGACGTCATCTATCAATAAGTCATTCAATCTGAAAATTGCGCGCGCGGTTGCAGCTAGCCTGAAAAGCGCGCCAAACTTAAAATGCGCACAAGCGCTTCTTGTATTTGCATTGCTTGCAAACAAAACGCCAATAGGGGCGAGAGCAGGGCGGTACCTCATGTATTAATTTGTATGCTGTAGCTATGTTGAAATGTTATGAATTTTCAAATTGGATATGTAGTATTACTAATACACGATGTACCGGCCGAAGCAGCAGGGCAGATGCATCGCGGGCTTAATCCTTAAAGACTGATATTGCTATTATCAGCCGCTATTCTATATTGCAGTTATAATTTGAACATTTGCTTAACAGAATTATGATTGGCGCATTGGTTACCATAGCAATCAGCGTTTGTTGTCGAGTGTTATAGTAACCAAGTAATGTGCCTTAGCATTAAATAGTAATCTTGAGGTGAGAAAATTGTGTTAATTCTTTCAGATGCGTCACCRTTTGATTCTAATATCTCAAAGAAAGATCACCATTCTCTCAATTGTAAGACCCTCATTGTAAGATTGTTTTGTTTATCAACCTTTAACAAAATGCCTCAGCTTGTTTACATGCCTATTCCACACTTTATTGTGAATCGTCGCTGTCTGACCTTCTGAAATCACAATCATTGTGATCAGCGTCTGTCGGCATGGTTTCACTATCTGATTGCGTCAGCAGAACGTCACTTACGTGATGTGCTGTGATTGGTTCATTTCTGTGTATTGACGTTTTTAATGCGTTTTGATTGGACGATGAAGTTTTTGTGATTAAAGGCTGACCTTCTAGTCTTTCCTGTACACGGTTCAGGTGATGTGTAGAGCTTTCGCGTTGGAATGTGTTATCTGGTGAGTCATAAATGTTTACGTAGTGATCGTTAATCGATATGTGATCGTTTTTATCAATCGATAATACTTCGACAGTACAATGATTATATAAAGGACTATGATGATGCATGTCTATGTTGTCCATATCCTCGTAATCCGAGTTTTCGTCCCAACTGCTAGACGCCGATGTACTGCTCTGAGCATGCGTACTATCAGATTGCGTCTCTTGACTCGAGCTACACTCTCCCTCGGTATCCCCCTCAATTTCCTGATAAGACGGAGGACGCGAGAACTGCATACCGCTGCTGCTCAGTGTATTGTTAAAATTCTCATCCTCTTGGATGATGTCATCTCTAGTTTCCTTGGTAACGGGGTTATTGTTAATATTCACCTCAGAGGCCGATATGACTTCGTACAAAGCTTCTTTTAACTTTTCTACTTTGATTTCAATCATTTCCTGCGGTGACGTCATCAGTACCATTTCCAGGCAGTCAATGTCTTCGTAGTCAGGGCTTTCGCATTTGTTTTTGTTACAATCTTCCTTTTCATCGCAGTCTGATGATGAACTTCCACCGCTAAGATGAAGACGATCCGTATCGTCAATGGATTCCAGCATATTTACGTGAATGGATGATTCATGTCGTCGTGTGGAGTTGATGAGGACACCGTTCATACCTCGCAAGGGGTAAGGACTTGTTTCGTACTCAATGACTTCAGTATCAACATTTGTGAAGAGAGAGCTTGGAGGACCGAGTTCAACACTGTCAACATGGTTCACGTCGCGATAGGCCGGACCATCGATACATTTACAAGGCAAAAATAGGTTTTGTCTTACCATAAGAACAATAATAGCAATAATAAAAACTGCAAGTATAACGCTCAGGATAATCAGAATAAGTTCTTGGTGTTCATTTTCTCGAATTGTGATGTATTTTCCTTGAGATTCAATGATGACTATGCGCGGTGGATTGTCGATCGGAGGTCCGAATGTCGACTCGTCAGTTTTTGTGGTTTTACCAATAACAGTTGTGTTATCGGGCGTTGGTGGTTTTGTTGTTCTGATGGTATTTGGAGTTTCTGTCTTTAGGAAGAAAGTTGATTTATGTGATGTGAAGTCTCGAGTAATTGTAGATGGTGCTTGTGTAGTCGGAAGCTCTTTTTTCCCAAAACACTCAAGATCTCCAAGAGTAAAGTTAGAACTTTTACTGGTTCCTCGTACACTGAATTTAATGTTGGTTACTGGTAGCGTTGAGGAGTCGATGATGTAGCCTTCATCACGTCTCCAAACACCGTCCCAGGCATCACAGTTACAAGCTAAGTCATGACGTATACACGTTCCCGTCAGCCCACACGCGCATTTTTGACTTCCTGGTTTTGCACCTGCCCAGTAGTCCATAGTTTTACCATCACGTGATATCCATCGTGCACCGCGGCCCGTTTCCAGTTTGAATTCGTGCGCAGAATCAAATAGAGGAGAGTTTAAGCAGTTGTATCTTAGATGTTGTCGACAATGGGAACTCTTTGCGATGAGTGCACGAATTCTTGCTAAATCAATCTTATAGCGTATGGGATGGAAATAAAAACCTTGTTTTCTGGTTGAAGGACGATAAGCCTTTTCTTGTGCTTCGATGTTTGTGTGTTTAATGATAGTGACCGTCTCCTCGGCATCGTGCATTCTGCAATACACTCGAAATGATGTAACACCATTAGGACTTATCCAGTAATAGCCATCCGTTGTCTTCCCTGCATTCTTCCAATCCTGACAGCTTTCCTTGTTAGTTATTGGTTGATAACACCTTGGTCCTGTATGGTTAGTTCTTGAACAATCACACGTGAATTCTGCTTGTCTTTGCGTGCAGCGTCCGCCATTGTGACAAGGATTAGGAAAACAGCGATCATTAGGTATGCATTTGTTAAATAAAACATCAGAAGTTGTATGTTGACTGGCGTTGATCTTGACTCTTTGCACGAAGATATCATTAATGCATCCAACCAGCCCTACAGTRTCAGATGCTGATCCACCAAACATGACTTGCAAGCTGTTAGTGAAACTACGGGCTGGTTCGACGCCATGGTGGTGTTCTTTACCGTCTAGTTCCAATAGTATAGTACTGCCACTCACAAATACCGATACTGAATGCCATAGCCCGTCATTGAGTGCGTCACCAGCGTTTAACGCTAACTGTGTGAATCGATGTAGAAAAGATACTTCGAGTTTGATTCGGCTGTCGATCAACCAGAGTCTAACATCAGCTCCTTTAAGACCTTTTGATATGTGTGTTGCCAGCAGTCCGTCTGTCTCGTACGTGCGAAATTTGAAACTAAAGGACAATGAGTTCGTGTATGTTGACGTAGTGACAATGACGTGTGATTGTGAATGCTTGAATGTGATTGGTGAATAGTCGTTACTAGGGCAGCCAATAGATACGTTGCCATGGATTGTGATATTGCTGTCGCCATGCTTAGTTAATTCTGCCAACTTCCACCTGTTGAGTAATATGTGATCCAAGCAACCTTCAAAGTTGATGAAAGGTTCCTTTCGGTTGTATAAAGTTTGCGCTCTTTTAAATGCAGCTTGGCTTACTCCAGCAATGTAAACATCATCGTCTATTTCTAGTGTTGCGTAGCTCCCGTTAGCTTTTGAAGTTTTGCGTTGGTTGTCCAGGAACATTAAGATGTTCTTCCCAGCTCGGTACAAGTCAATTTGATGCCATTCGTTATCAGCTAAGTTCTCACCGTAGAAGATTTCATGATATCCAGAGTTGTTCCCTATGGTTCCTAAGTTGGCTGTATATCTGAAAACAAAAGGAGAAAGAAGTCAACGTGATGTCTTGAAGCTGTCATACGTCACGTAAACTACTGATTACGTATACTATTACGTAAATTACTGATTACGTATACTATTACGTAAATTACTGATTACGTATACTATTACGTAAACTACTGATTACGTATACTATTACGTAAATTACTGATTACGTATACTATCACATGACTTGTTATCAGAGATGTAATCAAGCTTATTACTAACAACACCATCTTCACCCTTTGTAGCGGGCTAACAATATATCGTAATTTGATATCAAAACTTAATAGTACTAGCTGCTAGAGGCTAGAAATACCAAGGGGTGGTATATAAAGTTCATGTGAGATCTCTAGCAGAGTTTTATAGCGTAAACCTCTAAACGCTATGTTGTTGAAATTCATGGAAATTGTAGCAAAACTCTGTCAACATCTTGTCTTACTGACCACAGAATACAGGACAAGCATTGGACTGTTAGTAGTACAGTATGTTCTATCAGTGCATTTATTAATTAATCTAATATCTATAGAGTATATATATTAAGGTAGTAATTAGCAAACTGACAGCTATCATTTAGATACATTACCGCTAACACTTGAGGGATATACGCGCCCCTATCAGTAGCACCATTAACATATTACGTTATATAGATTAACGTGCTTTGGATTTAAGTAATTAGTGGTGATATTAATGAGTGGAAATGAGGATTAATGAGCTCGTGTATCATGATATATTGATATACACAAATGTACAATGGGCGTCACCTTGATTAAAACTGTATCTATTAGTTTGTATGTACACCTCTATATCTCTTGATTATTTCTCATATAATTCATTTGTTTATTGATGTATAATTCTTTCTTTATATATTTTGTTGACTTTATATGGTATTAACCGACCTTTATCTTCAAATATATCTTGTCAAATCCTTTTATTCTACAATATGTTTGTAAAGCAAACTTACTTATCTCGGCTGAATTCCAGACAAAATGCGAAAATACATTGTTTTTTTTTTGTTCATTTATATTTGTTTTGTACTGTTTTATTTATTTTTCGTATTGCACACACAAGACACTCATTTGTAGTCGAACAAGTGAGTCTTTTCTCCGTATGTTGTTGTGTGATTTCTGTCTTCCTTTTCTCTCTGATTACGAGAATGTACGCTTCAATTACCGTGTCGACCTATTTTTCCTATATTATAGTTATTCCTTGTCTACATGAGGTGTTTTTTTAATTAATTCACAAAGTTGAAAAAAAATCGCTTATTCAAAAAGCAAGACTTTAAAACCACAAAGCACTACACCTGATCAGTGGCCGCAGCTTATTTGAACAAACAAATCTGCTTTGAGCCAACGAAGACGCTTTCAAGTTGTATTCGAAGCGCTGAGCGCGCTCTAAGGCGTCGTGCTGGTGTTAGAAGACATGTTTTTCTAAAGTACTCGTGAATAAGGGTTAAAGATCTCAAGTTAAATGATGTTTTTTGAGGGACATACCTGAGTTGTGGTTTAATTCATTATTAATTGGTTCCTATAGCTTCATTTCTAGCCAAGGTTAGATGGTTTCTCACAACGAGACATGTTTATTAAGACCTAAGAACTCGTTTATCTTATAATGCTTTACAATATGCCTTAACTGTAAAACAGCCAATAAAACGAATGAAATACGCGCATTTAAAAAGACCCTCCCAACAAAATTGACGATTTTTTGCCAAAATGTATAGTTTTTAAAGGGTTTAGTCGTTGCAATACTGAAAACGCTCAAAACAGTACATGTCACGCCAATAACCTGAGCCAACTTCATGAAAACGAAAGATTCGGACTAAATGGCACGTTATTTGATGCATTTTGACCTTGTTGAAACATAAAAACGTGGAAGTTTTCGAAGCGTACGTTAAAAGACATTACAGAAACTAAAATTTTGAAAAATGTTTCTACCATACAGATATGCGTAAAAAAACTAGATAAATCGTTTACTTTAATCTCTGTTAGTAAAACTAAAAGGCAGCTCGCCCTAAATCGACAAAAATAATGACTGAAACTCGCGTTGTATAGTGAACAGAAATTTATCAAATATATGTTTAAACTTTGTTAAGAATAGAATATAACGGCATATACTTGTATTTATGATTAATATTTAAGTTTTTTTGTATTTTTAAATTTGTATTTCTGCTAGACTGAGATACATTTTTCATGTGTATAGTATACTAGTAAATGGACACGTGGGTACCACAACAAGGTTACAGCAATCTACGAAATGTAATCTTATTTGATGATAGTTGAAGTTCATTAACTGGGGTCGGGTTTTTTTCTACAATTCGATTAAATTAAAAAAAGTCAGCCCCCGCCTTGAAGTTTTGACTTGATTTGGACCCAAAATTGATTCTTAACAAGATATCGGGTCACCATTGCTGCATCAAACATATTGACTGTTAACTAATTCAGAAAAATTCATGAATACTGTTTTTTTTTAGCCACAAAAAGGCGTTTTACGTTGGAAAAAGACGTCGTTTTGATATAAATTGTTATTAGTTATTAGTGAAAGATCGCTCGTGTGGAAGTACTAATGCGAGTGCCTAATCCGTCGTCAATTATTTATGTACTAGTCCGACGCATGCGCATTGGCTAATCGCACAGGTGGGATACAAACACGAAGACGTGTTTTGCAGAAAATCGTACGATTCTCTCCACCCAAATAAAGCTTATTTTAGGTTGTTTTTAAGATTGCTCAAGKTTTTTTGCTTTGGGGGAATAGTAAACAATTAATAACTATGATATTAAGGGTATTTTGCGTTGAAATAAAGTGTTTTTATGAGGTTTCAGTTGTGATGGATTCGTGTCTCACAGCTGCAACGAACACAATAAATATGCAGAAAAGCTCACAAATAGCAATACAAATCTGCGTTTCTCTCTGGTAATATGTTTTTAATAAAGAAATGTTGTTAGAATAGRATACGTTTTAGGTATTTACGTCCAAAATAATTGAACCACATGAAAGTAAATTGCACGCCAGTGTTCCATCGTATGTGCGTTGGCCAGCAATGCCCTTTTCCACCAAGTATTACATAAAGAAATCCTTGTTTTCAAAGAAACAATCATAGTATTCATTGCCAATTGAAAATTAATAACAAACTATGTTGATTCAATTTCGTTTGTTCGGTTTTCTTTGAAAACACGAGTTTACTAATGATATCTATAGAATGAGGAACTAAGAATCTCATGGTTTTGAAAATAGCGCAGTTGTTGGAACTAACAGCGTGGTGCAACGGTTCCAAATTACGACCAATTACTCTATCAAAATCCAACATGAATTTTAAATTTATTTTTCCATGGCTGAGCGTTTTGATGAAATATTAAAGTAATTGACATCCACGAGCAAGTAGAAACGATTCCTTTTGATAACACTTTGTGTTATCCATAGAGAACTCAGATAGTTGATGTTGTGTAGGGAATATGGGTAAAGATCAGCGTTAAACGCGCCGTGAGTCATGTAAGATAGACAGCCCCCTTACCTTAGTCTGCCGCGATATAACTCCAGAGTAATAAAATCCCCGTGCTTGTCTCCAGCGTGCATCAGAAGTCCAGAAGGTTTAATAGTGCGAAACAACAATTTGATCCTGTCTTGACGGGAACGAATGGTTGTAGCAAGCTTATARGTAATGTAGGAGTCCTTGGCGAAGTTCAGCGTTACGGCTGGTTTGTCAGAGAAAGCATAAAGTCGCGGTAGGCAAAAGATAATCACGTAGATAATAAACCATACTTTCATCAAAGCCGGCATTCTAATCCTTGCACAATTGTTCCTTTTGCTTTGATTTTTACTGTTCAGTTCCCAAATCTTTGTGCTGTGACCAGGTCAGGTTTCTTGTCATTCTGCATTGCAATTCGCCCCTTTTATATCATTCCTACTCCTTCAGTGAGCACAATGCGTCCTTTGTCAAGCTCGGGCCGGCTGTTCTATCTATACGACAAACCATTCTATCGCCATCTGCAAATTCAACAGATTGTGAAAAAAAAACGTTGAAATGGATGACTGAAATATCACGAGTCAAAACTACAATGCAGGAGATTGGTGGAAAACGAAATAATGTCACTAAACTATAACTATCGTGCAGACTTTGGACATAAAGAAGTTACTTTCACCTTTCACTAACTTTGTAATCCCAACTCCTAAACATCCACCATAAAGGTTGCGCGCAAAATACAATCAAATTAATCCCAAAAGATTAATACACTTCGCACGTAGRGTAAGCTCAYCCAGGCTGACGTCCWCCTATGAATTATTAGTGCCTATTTGAGGCCTCATCCTTTCGTCCCTGCGATATGCGCCATTTTGATTGGCTGAGCGCGCGAATAATTGTCACGGCTCGCGACATCGTGAGATGATCGTATCCGTCAAGGGATTTTCTTGTTTTTCTTTCAAAGATGACAGTTTATTCACCATATTGATTTAACTCATCAAACAACAACCAAATCACCCAAAATGTTCTTCATTTCTGATTATAATGACTAGCTGAATGTCTGAAAAGAGAAGCCAGTCGGTCCCCAACACTATGCGTTGCACGTCGCTACTATCATTGACTACAGGGACATTTTCTAGCTTACTCTTTCATCATTTTGAACTTATTTTTAGTTATGTTTTTTTTTAATGATTATTGTTAACTTTGTACAGTCGCATAGGGTAAAAAACAACAACATTAAGCTCGACCTTGAGATAACATCGTGAATTGTTGCAATGATAAATATTCGTTTGTATTTCTTGTTCAATCTTGATACATTCTTTCTATAGAGGAAACAATGGCGTTGACTCTTCTATCGGCAAATCCCCATTATTTGGTTGATATTTTCTAAATACAAATATTCTATTTTAAATAACTACTTAAAAGTCATTATCAAAACCTAACTTTTGTAAATTCTGATTTAATAATAAACGTGAAATATTTAAAGGAATAATGTTCATTGAACGGTAGGCAGGTGCCACATGCCCCTTTCCTTACACAGAAACTCGATTGGTTTCACATATTTCGTCAATAATTAGCCCGCTAGATACTGTGTATTTTGTCATTTTGTTTCTGCCAATTAAAACGTATTTAGGGGACTACAGCACAATGAGGTAATAATAGTCATGTCATATTCAACTATTCCGAAGTGTCTATAATTATATCAATATCCGCTGACTCGCTACCATCCACAAATACACTCGAACCAACTGTCAATCATGGGTCTCTTCTGAAGATAATTTGTAACTTGTTGAATCAGTACCATATCCTGTTGGATATCCCAAGAAAATCAGCCGAAATGGAACACACGTGTAGGACGATGCAATGGTATGTGATCAAGTGTTCGATTGTAAAGGATAATCTCTAATTAGTYRAACAGTATTCCTATTTCTACGCCACGTGCCCTTAGAACAATGAATACGACGACTAAACTCAATGAACTAATCATATTAACTCACTAGATAACAAACGAGCCAGTTTGAGATTTTTATTTCTTTTTCTAGGGACAATTCAATTAGATTTATGAACTGCAGTTTTCCTGCTTTTAAMGGGTGATCTTCTTCGTGAGTTGAACGTCCACGCGACCTTACATACAATAGGTCTTTTGTACTATTCACACTGGTATTGAACGTCAAAGAGATTCAAAACGAACAATAAGACTACACCTTTTAAATCGATAATTATCTGCGTTTTCTTATACACACGAACGCACTAGACTAAGAAGTTCAGAGTTGACATAATACCCTAGGGCACGTTACCAAAGCCCTTCAGATTTTAATGGTCATTCTTTAAAAACAATGCTCAACGTACGGGGAATTTGATGGCGGAAAAACCTTTTAAGGATTTATCAGGTTAATTGTACAAGAAGGTAAAGTGATTTGATGTGGTTTATCTAGGAGTACTCTGAACGTAACTTGATCCTAAAGTACTTAGTACTGGTCTCTACATTGGTTGCTTTTTGTCAAAACTCTTGGTTCATTTCTACGTGTTTTTTGAAAAATGAAAAAAACAATATTTTGTGGTAAAACAGATCTCGTTTCTAATTCAACGGTTCAAATTAAAAATATATTAAATCCATTAACTGGAGTATGTTTTCTTTCAGGTGTGTGTGATGATTTTTTTCCCCTTTTTTTCGCGCTCGCTTCATGGGGCTCACAATCCCGCGCGGTTTCTGGTCTAGAAAACCTCTTTCATGTAAAGTACAGTAATTTGTTGTTTTTGTCATGGTTTTTGTTAATATCGTGTTTGCATACTTTAAAAGCCTTCCAGCAGAGAACATTGTCTATTTTAAAACGTCTTGAACAATGTTAAAAACATAACGACATGCCTTAGATAAATAGAACACCATCTTGCTCTTTTGCTTCGACAACACTTCAAACTTATGGAACGTATTCTTAGCTTGTAATCTATGCCAACTTCASYAGCTTCATCATTCTATCTTTAAGCTTCGTTTAGAAATCCTAACGGTGAAAAGCCACGTGAGTTCGTTTACAGTTTGCCACTAATCCCCGCTGAATCACTGCGTACTTACACAAGCTGGACATTAACGCACTGCCTTCATTTTCATTATACTATTACAGATGAACTCAGCCAATCAAAAAACACTTGAAATAATCCTTTATTTTCGATGCTGGATGATTCATTTTTGATCCTTTGATCTTGTCATTTGCAACTTGCACCAATCAAAATAAAAAAAAATAACTTCAAAAGTTTCACTTAAACCTTCAATGAACGTATTGCTTTCCTTTTCTGGAAACCGCACTTTTCCAATCAAATTATTTTCTAGAAATACACCCCCTTTTTAACGTATCGCTTTTTGTATTTCATTACAGCTATGTGCCCAGCAAATCCTAGAGAGTCAATCAAACGTCCAATATTCTTTTTTTCTATTTGATACTGCGGTATTGGCAATTATTTGTGTCGCGTGGCGGACAGCCGAGGTGTTAGAGCAGCTCGTTGATCAAGAAGCATTCAGTGCATCAGGGCGGACCAAATAGTCTTAAATAAACCTGCTGAGTCCAACTTAAAGTGATTAAAAAACTCTAACATTCAACGAGCCGTAGGTTGAGGAGTTCATAGCATGTGTACTGGAATGGTTTAATTCATCCATGTGCAGGTGGATCGACACAAAACCGCATTTTTCTCTTTTGTGTGGCGCAAACCTTTATAACAAAACAAAATAGAAAACAAAACCAAAAACRAAACCTTTCTTACCATTCAAAAACCCATGAGATTCCAGAACGTTTCCACTTTGCCTTCAGCGAACCATGGCGTCCTAACACTCAACAAATACCCGCCATCTAGACTCTCACCCCAGCTTCTTGAAATCTCAAACAATTAACATGATTCTATTTTACATATAATTCACTAGATCAACGGTAAATAGCCTAAAGAGACACGTCCTTGACATTCAAGAATATACTACTTACTAGGGGGTAGGGTGGGGGTTTTACCATTTGATGAGAGTTAAGCGAGTTTTGAGGTTTTGGTATTTTAATACATAGAGAGGTTTTAGATTGATAAGCCATCGAGAGAAAACATCAGTTAACCCTTATCCAGTAATCCGTGCGTCCTTTGATCTCTCAACAAATCACAACAACTCACAGATCCACTGTTCTTTTATTCCACTAAAGTTTTAAAACAGACACTCTTCGTATATACTTCCGAACCTGCCTTGACAAGCTTTAGACATTCTATGTTGTGGATTTAAGTCGCCGCATCATCTGAATTTCGAGTTGAATAATGTCCTGGAGCCAAATGTCGCGAGTTTTTGACGATTAATCAGGAAATATGTAATTTAGTTTTACCGGTTTTAACGCAAAAACCACCGTTTATGACGACGAGTTGGTAAACATGCGAGTTGGGGACGCGGTTACTAAGTGCATATTAGTGACTTTAAGTCAACCTGGGAGAATTCTTTGGACTAAAATAGCTAATTCCATGAACAATAAGTTATCTTAAAAGCGCATATCTTAGGAGAACAAGAGGAAAGRGATTTCTGTTAGCGCACCTTGAAAACGCCTTGTGTATTGTCGTGGAAGTTAGTAAAAAAAAACAACAGCAACCAAAAAAATCTCAAACAAAAAGCAAGGATATATACAACTACAAATGATAAGGGAACATTCATTAGTCTTTAAAAAAAGTTAAAATTATATTCACAAAAGATTTTCTTTGATTTACACTGATTTGTTTTCACTATAATATGTAGAAGGATGTCAGGAATGGGCTACGAGCATTATGGAGAACAGTATGGAAACTTGAACGCTTTCTGAAGGTAGCTTTTTTATAGTCATCCGTATATTTATTTAACATAGATTCCGACATCCATCTGGCTATTCATTTCCTATAYCTTAATTCATACATGCCATTTCTTCTCCTTTTTGTACCCATTTCATKCAATAATCCAATCATTCATATCATCCTTAATTTCTTTCCGTTTTGTTTCCTCATTAATGACTTTAATGAAAGCTTTTGTCTCGCGGTCTCGTGTATTCGTTAAAATTTTCTKSTTGACGCTTATTTTTGAATAGTCTATTGAGCAGTGTTTCAATGTCATCTACAAACAGTAGTCTTAATCGACAGCCATCTTACAGAAGACGTTACTAATTTGTAATCATTTCCATTTTAGTGATTATACGAAGAGGTTGTGTCTGGTCGTTAATTAATAAGCAATCAATTCTAATCGACATACCACGAGGATGCTCTCAAGTATTGATATCTCTGGAAACGCCCTTTTATTCAATCTAGACGTTAATTTTGTAAGGACTAGCCCGCTAAAACTACGCCCAAAACATTAACAAATGTCTGTGTATGTCACAYGGGTGATGTATGCAGACTATAGTCTGAGGGATGAAAGTCAATAGTCAGATTCTTGGATATGGTCTTGAAATAACAAGCTATTGATAACGGAAGTATCGTTCTTCAGAGCGGAGAAACATGTTGAATTTTGACCTGCTCTATCAATTGTAATAATAAAATACAGCCAAAGAGTAATGAGATTGTATCGCGAATCCGATCTATACAACCTGCAAGTATTATGGAAAACTATGATATGTCCAAATATGGTAAAATWAAAATTAAAATAAATATTACGCCTTTTATGTTATAATTGAGGGAAAATGTTAATTGTATCAAAACACATTGGGAATGAAATCTCCAGTTGCCTTATCGTAAATCCATGCGACGATGATGGCCGTCTGGAACCATTGTAAGATTGACATTGATTTGATCTCACGAGTAGGGGTTCGAGTCCCAGTACTTTAAATTATTAGAGTGTGACTGAGTTTTGATCATTCCATACATAGTGCTTTGAAAATTTTGCRGTTTATCGTCAAATGCTGGGCATTGTTGTATTCTGATACTTCATGTTGCAGACGATTCCAATTKCTGATGTTATATCGGCGATTCGTATTGTGTTATCTTAGTTTTAATCCTGTTTGATGCGGGACCGTTTGATTGATCTGTAGCGTGAGCTCTTTCCTTCTCGTGACATTATGCACATAACGCTAGAACGCTCACTGCAATTTATAGAGAAGAAATCTTGACGTGAAAAAAACCCGCTCAGATCAACCTGCCTGGACTGGAAGAAATCAATTTCTCACAACAATACACGAGGAGCAATATATTGTGATGTCCAGTATCTAATCTTTTCCCGCAGACATTTCGACGATTTCGAAGTTTGATACAAGTCGGTGTACACGTCAAATACGATTTTTCTTTTGTCAGATAAGTGCGAGTGGTTTCAATTTCGTCTCGATGCCATCTCGTACAACTTTGTTTTGCCGACKTATTCGCTGTGCTAGTGGTTGTACTTGACCTCGAGTGTCTTGTCATTTTGATTCTGATGTGTTTTATATGTTTTTTGTATTATTTTAGTAAATGCATCAGCGCTGAATGTAATTGTCGATAAATGTGATAATACCTTCTACAAACACGGCATGGATTTAGGCGATAATATATAGTTACCATGTCAAATCATGACAAGTCTATCGATGACTAATGAACTGGCAAAACATGATATCGTCAAGTAATACACGCAGCTTCTGTCAAATTTCACACACTTATTCTGTGGGAGCATTACTGATCCCCTCCCAGTAAGGTATTGGAACGCACTTGCACAAGAATGCGCGATCTGTGGAATGCATAATTAGATAGTTACCCTCGTTCTGTGCGAACTGAACACCCCTCGGTCGCACTCACTGCTATTCTGCTCAGTTCGCAAAGATAGTAAAAAGAGCTGTGGAGACTTGGTGTAAATGAAATGAAATTTAACCTTTTCTTATCTGTACGTCGAAGYAAATGTGTGCAAACTTATTTACCCTAGTCAAGAGTTAATGGTCATAATCCTGTAAAAATAAACACGATGGCTGATGTACTTCCATGCTGTACAGTGGTCTATAGGTGACAAATTCGTRCTCTAAGAGAATCAACTGCATAAAGATTGCATGGTGCAYAGCAGGCATTGTGTAGTTATTGCAGACCTTTTTCGAACACTAWTACATATCACGCTTTGTGAAAAATAAAACCGTTTGGTTGAATTGAAACATTGAAGCTTGTGCTTGCTTAGGTATAAGATTAATATATCTTTATAAAACAACTGAAGGACACATGGTGCCTTGTAGGATTSTATGCTTACCAGTGAAGGGAAAGCTAATTAACCATCAAGTCAATCCCTTGTAGATCTGCAATCTCTTGCTGTCCTTTGGAGTGCGATACTGCTGTCTTACTTCAAGTTGCCATCACAAGAGATTTTTCCATCGATTTCACAAATACTTTAAGATTGATAACAGTGTCATGAGAATGATTCCTGCGTTCTTTCTTGATAACCTTTAGTCACCCCTGTAAAACCAGGATAGATTTGGATAATACAAGTGTATTGATACTTGTCTCTTTATGTTGACAATAAACGATGGAAAATAACACGGGACGTTTTTATTCATAACCGTAGAAAATGCAAAAAACACATGCAATGTGTAGCTCGCAATACAAGCGTGCATGCTCGTTAGCTGTTTCTTGCTGAAGGTGACAAATATTTCCAAGCAGTTATTATTCCATTTGTTAAGTTCCACTGAAAGAYRATTCCAACACAATTATGAAAATTGCTTGAATGCAAGCTTTGTTTCTCTAGTTATAGCCCGTTTCCTAGGCCGGATCTCACATGTGTCGAATTCAAAGCCAATGAGATGATAATGACTTGGAAACAAAAGATTACAGTAATTTCCTTTGCTTGGCGATAGATTCACGCTTAATTATAGTGCAGCCACTTTAAACAAATCTCACATAGCGATGATTAAATCAGAGAAGCTAAGCTAAAGACGAAACACTTAAAAAGGATAAATAAACAATCTTTTTTCGTCAGGCTGATCGTGTTTGGTAGAATGCAACCTAGACTAGCTATGACTTTTCCCGGCTACGTGGAAGCCCCATCTCTTTTG